CGTACGAATATATATATATATATATATATATATGTATATATATATATATATATATATATATATATATTTCTCCCTTACTAATGGTCTGAGTTGTGTAAAGTTGCATTGAGCTCAACATTTGTGATCACGTAGTACATACAGTATAGTACAGTCCTCTTTTCTTCTAATTCTAATGTGCACTCAATAGGCATGCATGTTGATAACTTGGTCTGATTTTTTTAAAAACGCCATCTCATTCTGACAGATTAAAGAAAAATCTGAAGAGTTTTGTCATCGTCCATCCATCCTGGTTCATACGGACTGTGCTTGGAATAACCAGACCGTTTATAAGGTTTATCTCTTATCTCTTTAGCTTTTGTATGCAAATGACACACACTCTGGCAGATTACAGCACAGGATGTACATCAGCAGTTTCACAATTTAATAATAAAACAGGATTGATTTAGCTCCAGTCTATTTATAGTGAGCACTACATCCAGTATCTACTGGAAATCATCATCAAACTATAGGATGCTAAATAATATCTTAACTTAAAACTTAAACTTAAACTTATCCTATCCTAGCCTTATTTACTTATCCTATCCTTATCTTATCCTAGCACCTGAGTCTTCGTAGCCCTTTTATAACAATACACATTGATAAAAATGGAGACATTTGGTCTTGTGCATTATTCGAACACTTAAGCTGTAAAAGATAATTGTAATTTCTGTTTTTGACAGTTCCAAGTTCAGCAGTAAGATCAAATATGTGCACAGTCTGCGAGAGCTGGGGGAAATCATTCCCATGGAGTACGTCCACATTCCACACAGCATTGTCAAGTGAGTCAGTCTGTCCCATTGTTTAAATACCAGAATCTAAATGATGCTTTTTCAGTTGTCTCAGTGACAGTGAAACATTATATTTGCAAATTTGTAATATTGTCAATATTATTTCATTGATACCAGCCTGTAATTATGTTCCACATAATGTAAAATAAGTTTTAAAAGTTACTGTGTACTATTTACTTTGCTATTGCAGTTCTCCCAAAGTCATAATTTTCAGAGTTTATGGGTTAAAACATAAAAACAATAAAATAAAATGTCATAACTAATTTAGATTAAATATTCCCACGCATTGGATAAAATCCATCTAGCAAAACAGCTAAAATTTGAGTTACTGTATGTTTGCATATTGTTCTTGACATTTCATTCATTAAGCCATGAATTAAAAACAGGAGTTAAACATATGGGTCTACCAGAAATATAGATGAGAAGACAAATAAATTAGAAATGTTGATAAATATAAGTTAATCAGGATTAATGATAATTAATCAAGATCGTGATGGTTTTTGAGGTTTCTACTGTACTTGAAAACATTATGTAAGTTTACCATTTTGTAGCAGGACAGATGGTAGAAATTGAACTGGTAAGGAAGGAGATTTTAAACATGTAAAATACATATACAGTTAGATTAATTACATATAAAGAAATATCAATATTTGAATATAATATTACGACTAGACTTTTTATACTTTTTGCTATGTATTTTGTTTCCTTTCCCCCAAAGAACTACACTGTATAATAAGAAAGAAGTTAATAACACAGTGATAGTTATAATTAAGAAGGACTTGATTTAGGCCTGTTTACATAGATCTTACTTTGTCCAAAAGGTATGACAAGGAGAGACAAAGACACCGGTAAACTACTATTCTGTTTGGATGAAACTAATCTTTTACTGACCTCTCCTGACTGTTTTCTGATTGTAACCTGTCTTAAAACACAAGCCAATTATTGATTCTCTTATACCTAAAACTCTACCTCCTCAATATACTGTATCACCCTAAAATATATTGTACATTTAAGGTACAAATAATAAGATTACTTAAATAGCATAATAAAAAGTCCCAGGTCTGTTTGCATCCTAGATGAAGGAGATTAAAGATTAAAGCAGTCTGCTGTCCAGGAGCTCAAGTCTTATCATTGTGTCTTCACAGCTCTTCTCACTAAGCATGTCTACGGTCTGATACGCTCAAATGTCTTCACCCAGTGCTTGCTGATAATGTGACTATGCCTGTCACTTCTTTGACTCCCTCACTAACCTTTGCTCTCTACTTTCTAACTCTATGCTTAACCAGACTGGATTCAGATTTACAGAACACAGCAGCCAAGTAAGTCTGTCTAATGTCTGTTAGCAACTGAATTTCACAGACCAGTGAAGGACAGAGGAGCTTCTCTATTTAAACAGTAATATGAAGTAACATTTACCCATTTTAAAAATGTATATGAAAGTATTTTGGTAACATTTTAATAGATTTTAGGACAACCTTTGACCTATTTTATTATCTATTTTATTGTCTTCCTTTTAGCCACATTTCAACCTTACTCTGCAGTTCAGTTTCTTTTTTCCCTTGTTTTATTTCCTAAGTTTTTATTTCCTATATTTCCCCTTTTGCTGACTTTTAGTATTTTTTTCACAGCTTTCTGTGCTAACAGCCACTGTAACCCCTTGCTTTATTTCAATGCTTTTAAAAATTGACCTACTGTGTAGTCGGTAATTACTGAAACTTATGTTTGTGTTATATGGCTTATCTCATGAATCAATTTCCTTAGAAATGGGTACAAATTGCAATACATAACAAATTTGTAGTTTGGAAATGCACTTGACTAGGCAGAGGGAAAAAATAGTTTTTTTAAGCTGATTTGTAACACCCTAAAAATAATTTAAAAATAATTATGCCTTTAACCCACTGGAACAGAGGTGAATTTAATTCTTACTTAGGGGATTCATTGCTGCCAGACCAACACAGTAAATGATTATTCACAGTATTTCAGGGAAATATTAATATGGATGGATGGGTGGATGGATGGATGGATGGATGGATAGATAGATAGATAGATAGATAGATAGATAGATAGATAGATAGATAGATAGATAATTTGATTTTTATAGATTTGTATTTTAATGCCTTGAGCCAAAGTTGTTCTTGACCTTTTTTCTGTCCCCCTTTCTCTCGCTCAATCAGAGCTGAAAGAAGAGGAAACGCTGATGTTTGACAGATGCAAAACCTCCAACGCCTGCTTGTCTTTTCCCTGCAACATGCTGTATTGAACCCAAATAGTCTGAACATAAGCACGCCTGAAGCATGATGTGCATGGCATTAGAAACAAACTTGAGAGGAAGATGCTGTGGTGCAGAACATAGGGCTTATTCAATATGAGGGGGCACTGATCTGAAGGTGCTCATCTTCATTTGTGATTTGTTTAGAGTGAAGGAGACTGACACTGTGATGCAGGGGATGATGACTTATACTGTATAACTGTACTTACACACAACACTTATATTTTCCTCCCAAAGTATCAACCTTTGTTCTACTTAATATTGTTTTTGCCTTCTATTTCACAGGTAAAGTACTAACCTGCCTTGTTTGTTTTAAGCATCAATCTGCCATTTTAATTGTTATAGCTTTACCTTTTGTCACACACAGTATAGTGTCAGTTTTTCTGAAGCTAATGTAAAGTCTTACCATTACACTCTATATGACCAACCAGAGAACACCTTATGCTGCCCAACTGCTAAAAAAACAAAACTATATTTGTATCCTTTAGACATCCAGGATGTTACGTCAAGGGATATAGAATACTGAATGTAGAATTTAATTTTTAGGTGGTTATTGTTTACAAATATCTACATACTTTGCCTGAAGTTTGTTATGGCATGAGAGAGTCTGGCCAAATTAGTTTGAAAATTAACTGTATTTTAACACTGTGTCATTCAACACCTTAAACAGTTGTAAAAACGCTACATATAGACATATGTGTTAGCACTCTACTGTATACCACTGTGGGAATACTTGAGATGCCATATTATATGAGTAGCAAAGTAGCAGGTACTAATAGCTGCAATAACATGTCGCATGCTTTCAACTGCTGCAGTTTTAGGAAGGGTTTATTTGTCTGGATTTTTGGGTGGCTGTGTGTGTGTGTGTATGCATGCACTCTGGGAAATAATATAAGAACACTTATGTTCACTGATGTTAAGAGTGGTATCATATTGAGTGCCTATTCAGAGCAAGACGAATTGTGCTAACTTGTGCCCTCTTTATGTTATTTATTTACATTTTTGGCTTATATGGTCTTAGGCTTTTGTAAAATGTGTAAAATGTTTGTGTGTTTCATTAAAGACAATTCCCACACACACAATCAAAACATGTCAAAAAATGTTTGTTTTTTTTATTTTATGTGTTACTAAATTTGTGGTTTGCATGGTCTTAGATTGTTATTGAATAAATTATGTTTATTTTGTTTTTATCTTTCATCTGTCTTCTTAAACATTACTCAAACACAATAACAGTTATTGAGATCATATTAAATATCTAGATATAAATGTAAAGCTTACAAATAAAATGTTCAATTAAGTTAAAACTGTAGTTACAACTATTAATATTAAATTATCACATCGTACATTTTTAACTAAAATTTGGACAGTAGTTGACCTCAGTCTAAAGAAAATAGTAAAATAAATAGATGTAGAGAAATAACACCCTCTTGTGGCTAGTGTCAAAAATAACTGCCAAATACACCTTTACAACTTGAACTTTTACGGTACATAAATTCAGTTAAATAGCCAAGTGATTTGTCTCATTCATACAAGGAAGCCGCTTTAATATGAAAATGTATTTTTACAAGATTGGTAATCTTAATATATATCAATATATATAAATACATATATATATATACCATAGCAAAACTTGGTCAAAATGTTACATCGTGAGTAATAAAAAACCGTCCTATTTGTCCAGTACACAATGGGCCTATAAAATAACTTACAAATGACTGTTTTCATGTTAACTAGGTACCATCAAAAACACTGTAGTCTCTTTTTTCGACAACACGTGATCGCAACACGTGACCGGGTATCTGAGCAGTCGCGTTTAGTGACGTCAGCACAAGCGTTGCGAGCACGGATGTTACGTACAACAGCTGGGAGTTCTGTCTGCGAGCTCTGCGACTGTATCCATCTCTTATTCTGTGAGCGAACCTTAGATAAACCGAAACATTTTGATTACGATACGAGTATTCTGTCAAAGGCAAAACGCTTTGTGGACCGGTTTATTTGATGAAGCTAACGGTTAGCTTAGATGCTTTATTGGTAAACTAACCACATTTCATTATTTCATGAAGATTCAACTTTAACGTCATTGAGAGAAGATTTGGGTAATTAGGAGTAAAACTTAAAGTCTTCAAGTGAACTTTGTCACGGCTGTCTGTCATAAAGGACTTTAGCTGTCAGCACGGTTCAGGTGAAAGACCGACTTCCTTGTGCGTTCTAGGTCATTCTGTCGCGTTCACTACAGTCAGCCAACTGTCAACCGAGAACGATGAAGAGTCTTCCGTACTTCTGTCGCGGAGAGGTCATCCGAGGATTTGGGAGAGGAAGCAAAGAGTTGGGCATTCCCACAGGTTAGTGGATCATTCAATCAGTAACGGGACAGTAGCCACATATTACAAAGCCAATTTCAATAGGCCTGAGCCGATAGCCAAATAAAATTAAATAAAAGCAGACATATTAAACTGCGTTACGTGTTTTACGATTCTGAGACTACAACCGTTTATAAAACACGTTTTTAGTATTAAATACATGGCGTATTTACGGCTCTGATGATGCAACGTTCGCATGGCGCTACTGAGGGCCCTTAATGTTAACCTCGTGTTAACCGCTTGACTATCGTGTACCTTTGTAAATATGTGACATAGACATTCAAAAATATTTTACGTCTGCAAAAGCAGTTCATGATTACTGGTAAAAGAAAAGAAAAATCACAATTTAACAGTTCTAATCGTTTACTGATTATTGCGAGTTATTTTATGACGTAAACCAAATTCTAGTTATTGAAAATCAGTTTAGAGATTGATACATTTATTAACCATATTATATTGGTTCCTTGTATTTCAGATTATTTTTAGATTGTATTTAAATAAATAAAAAACATTACAGTCTGTTTTGTAATTGTGTCATCAATACTTCTAAGTGCATTAACAGCTACACGTCACTGAACAGGAACATGTTTTCATTTACATTGTCAAAAGCTCTAATTCTGTTTCTTTATTTTCTTTATCCTTGCCTTCAACAGCCAATTTCCCAGACTCTGTGGTGGATAATCTTCCCGCAGATATAAACACAGGAATCTATTATGGCTGGGCATGTGTGGGAAATGGGGACGTTCACAGAATGGTTATGAGCATCGGTTGGAATCCCTACTACAAAAATACCAAAAAGTCTATGGTAAGATGGCGAGGAATTACTTTTTCTGCATACTATTTGTTCTTTAACTGCTAAAATACACATTAAGTATATTAATTTAAAGCACATTTTATGAAGACTACAAAATGTTTTATTCATGAAGGTTTTAATTTGTGTAAATACTTTCCCTGCCTTAATAAATATAGAAATACATTGAAAACAGAAATGAACAATATAGAGATGCAGTTAACTGTTTTCAGTTTTAAATGCAAAACTCAAATACCTTCAAATGTCACTACATTTTTTGAGACACTTGCCTTTTGACAGTAAATATATGTTTTAATTCTAGGAGACTCATGTGATTCACACATTCAAAGAGGATTTTTATGGGGAGATTCTCAGTGTCGTCATGGTGGGCTACATACGTCCAGAGAGAACCTTCGACTCTCTTGGTATGTCATACCTTCAAACTCGAACACACATACACAAGCATGACTATATTGCCTTGTTTCATCTGCCTTTCTGTCTTTCTAAATAGAAGCCCTGATCTCAGCCATCAATAGTGACATTGGGGAAGCCAAAGTCAAGCTGCAGCTGCCAGAGCATCTTAAACTAAGAGAAGACAACTTTTTCACTACCGCTCCTGCCTCATCTGCAGACCTCAGCTCCACCACAGGATCTACATCACAGACTATTTTAAACGGCCACTGAGGGCACCCTTGCTGAGACTTTGGCTGTTTCCACATGTCCTGACACACACATACATGTAGAGATACCACAAAGTAATTTTCCTTCTTTTTTTTTACTGTTACGCACAGGTTTGTGTATCTGAAGATATTATAATGATTTATAGCTCTAAAACTGTAATCATAAACAACCTGTGTTTTGTTATACATTCTGAACTTTTACATTTTCCTGTTCCTTTTACTTTTTTATTAGTAATTCTCCTATATGAAATAATGTTAATTTGTATTTATCTGAGCTGTAATAGCTTGATTAGTGATTAGTGTTTGACCACTTCTTTACATTTGGTATAAACTGGTAAAAAGGTACTAAATACCACGAGAGAAAAGATACTGCAAATTTGTAGATTCTCTAGATTAGAGATTCTAGATTAAATACACACAGTAAACACATCATTGTGAGTGTAATCCAGACAAATTCACGAGATCATCAGTTAAGTCCTGTGTTCACAGGACTTCTCTATCAGATAAATGTGTGGGCATTATTATCTTTAATAGAAACACAGTTTTATCTCCATATGCAACAAGGTTACTCAATGCAAGGCATTTGTGTCATGACGGGGAAACTAATTAATGGAATTAGACTTACTACATTACATTCACTCTACTCTTCACTGCCCTAAATATACAAAACCAGTCTATTAGTTTCATACTTTGATGATTGATAATGATACTATAGAATCTGATTTCCCAATATAGGGAATAATGAACAATGGGCAGCAAAGTTATTTGCAGCATGCAAGTGGTAAGATCTGTCACTGGACCTGTTAAAATGGTTGACATTTCTAGCTCAAAGTCAAGGCAAGTCAAACCTCTGTGACTAAATTGTCTTTACATAGAAATGTTATCGTCTGAATTCACTGCAGTGTGTCTCATGACATAATTTTAAATAAATTATGTTTTTCTTTTTTACTTTAGACAATGAACAGCTCTTTGACGATGTCTTGTTTGTCCTCTTGAAACGTAGACATTCCAAGGTTTGCAAAAAACAAGCAAAGTTCAAGCAGGACAAAGTGCAGAACTCCCCATTGCTCTGGTTATATATCCATTAATGTGTTAAAACCCTGCAGTAAACAGGTTAAAAACGTAATGACTTCATTTTTACAGTTCACACCTGACTAAAGTTTATTTGACTATTTAACTGCCATCTCTGATCATCTTACATAATATAAAATGAAAAAAAAAAGTGGCTTTGTTATGGATAGTAAAACGATTTACTATACTATACTACTATAGTTGAGATATATTTGTGGATCATATGTAAAATGTATGTATGAAATACATTATAAATGTGTAAAATATGTAGACATTACAGATGAAATCCTGTATGATTAAATGAATAGTCATTTAACTTATTAGTGTGTACAAAGTATTTACTCTCCCAAGTGTGTAAATGTTTAATAAGACCAATGACAAATTCTAGAGATGTGCTTGTATCATGTAAATCTGCTTTTGGAGAGCGTAACTTCAGGAGTGTGTTTACTGACAGTACATATGAAAAGTCTTCAAACAATTTGCTGCTCTCATAAAAATACCAAATATGTAACTATATTGCTTTATCGGTTCCACCACTGGATGTTAATTTACACAGTGACCACAGTTACTGCACAGATAAGGGCTATTGTTGAAGGTTCTATGTGTTTCATTCATGTCCAATTAAAAAAAAGTTTAAAAAGTGTGTATTTTCCCCCCACATACTACTTAAGGTAACAGTTACACACAGGTAAAGTTACAGATGCTTCTGTTACAAGATATTGTAGATGGAGTCGGAGTGCTTGTTGATCCCTTGACATTTATATGTA